ACCATTCATTGATAAAATTTAATATTCACGATGCCAAGAATAATTTGACAATCCATACACTCTATTTGTAGACGCGGGACGAGGCGACGAAAGGTGAGAAGTAAGAGAAGGGGTAAAGAGAAGAGTTTTACTCAGATACTTATTTTTATCAATGAATAAATGTGTAAGCCGCTGTGCGCTTATAATAAACAACGTAAATATCCATGCCACTTCCAACCTAAAATGGGTATGTTTTGGAATTTATTGAAAATTATTACATCTAATTTTGGGTTCAGTTAGGTTGAATTATTTTAGCTTTTTTAATATATGAAAATAATTTTGTAAGTAAAACGAGAATAATGAAATAGGCATATGACAACAGCGGATATTATACCCGCCTGTGTCCCTTAGAATAAATCTTATCTGTTTACTGTACCTATGAACGCATGTTGTAGGTCACCAAAAACATATAATTATCTGTCCATCCATTTACAACTATACTATCATGAGCATCTAGTATTAAATTTCACAACGCAAGTGTTTTCTTTTAGTGTAGATAATACCGGGTGTCACACTATATTTTTTTTACATTTTGCGAACCAATTAAAATATCTTGATGCGGTTTTCACTAAACAGTTAAGTAGGGTCATAAGTTTTATTAGGCTTTAGTGGAAATACAATTGTAGCTTTCTCTTAGAAAAAATAAAAATTGCGCCATTTCGAAGTGAATATTCTAATTTTCTTTAAATGGAACACCCTATGTAATAATACATTTTTAAAAAACCCCATCCATTATTTATATAAAAAATTAAATTAACATGTTGTTTAAGTTAGTAAATGTTCAATGTGTTTGCCTGCATGTACACATTTATTAAATTTTGAAAGAAGAAGCTCTTAATAACATGCCCCTTCTCCTACACAAGTCACTCAGCTGGCTTCAGGGGTTGAAATTCACTCGTAAGGAGGTCAATTAGGGAGAGAATTATTATTATTATTATTATTATTATTATTATTATTATTATTATTATTATTATTATTATTATTATTATTATTATTATTATTATTATTATTATTATTATTATTATTATTATTATTATTATTATTATTATTATTATTATTATTATTATTATTATTATTATTATTATTATTATTATTATTATTATTATTATTATTATTATTATTATTATTATTATTATTATTATTATTATTATTAATATTATTATTATTATTTTTAATTTGGTGTCATCGGCGTCGACTACTACGGCCATTAGCCTCGTGTTCTGTGTAGGCTTTGTTACTGTTTCCCAGCGCCACTTTAGGAACAGCACTGTTAATTAGAACCCAACAGTGAATGGTCGAGTGGGGAATCCTACCTATTATTATTATTATTATTATTAATATTATTATTATTATTATTATTATTATTATTATTATTATTATTATTATTATTATTATTATTATTATTATTATTATTATTATTATTATTATTATTATTATTATTATTATTATTATTATTATTATTATTATTATTATTATTATTATTATTATTATTATTATTATTATTATTATTATTATTATTATTATTATTATTATTATTATTATTATTATTATTATTATTATTATTATTATTATTATTATTATTATTATTATTATTATTATTATTATTATTATTATTATTATTATTATTATTATTATTATTATTATTATTATTATTATTATTATTATTATTATTATTATTATTATTATTATTATTATTATTATTATTATTATTATTATTATTATTATTATTATTATTATTATTATTATTATTATTATTATTATTATTATTATTATTATTATTATTATTATTATTATTATTATTATTATTATTATTATTATTATTATTATTATTATTATTATTATTATTATTATTATTATTATTATTATTATTATTATTATTATTATTATTATTATTATTATTATTATTATTATTATTATTATTATTATTATTATTATTATTATTATTATTATTATTATTATTATTATTATTATTATTATTATTATTATTATTATTATTATTATTATTATTATTATTATTATTATTATTATTATTATTATTATTATTATTATTATTATTATTATTATTATTATTATTATTATTATTATTATTATTATTATTATTATTATTATTATTATTATTATTATTATTATTATTATTATTATTATTATTATTATTATTATTATTATTATTATTATTATTATTATTATTATTATTATTATTATTATTATTATTATTATTATTATTATTATTATTATTATTATTATTATTATTATTATTATTATTATTATTATTATTATTATTATTATTATTATTATTATTATTATTATTATTATTATTATTATTATTATTATTATTATTATTATTATTATTATTATTATTATTATTATTATTATTATTATTATTATTATTATTATTATTATTATTATTATTATTATTATTATTATTATTATTATTATTATTATTATTATTATTATTATTATTATTATTATTATTATTATTATTATTATTATTATTATTATTATTATTATTATTATTATTATTATTATTATTATTATTATTATTATTATTATTATTATTATTATTATTATTATTATTATTATAATTAAATTATATATTTGCAATGGAAAAAAATAAATTGTTGTATCTTCCTAAATATTTCTTATAAATTTCATTTAAGATTAAAATGTGCAAACCTTTCTTTTCGTTCTAATTTTGTAGCCATTTTCGAAAAGATTTTAAAACTTAATACGTCGTTATATACATAAAGGATGGGTTTTTTTTTTAAATGTAATAAATACAGAAAGTTCAATTTACAGAAAATTAGATTATAAACCTTGAAATAGAACCATTTTTTTTTAGGCGGAAGTTACAATTATATTTCTATAAAAATTTGGTTAAAATTAACCGTAGGTTATAAAAATATTTTTAATTTTGTATTCTGTAATATTTGGTTATAAATTATAACTTATGTCAGTAATAAGTCTAGTAGTTGCCATGTTATAAGAAAGCTAATAACATAAAATTAAATTGATAGAATATCGAATGGAGAGTTAAGTTAAAATTTAAACGCCATAGTTATAAATAACCTTTTAACCTGGCGACTAAAATTAACTAAAACGTTTCAGAATAGACCCCATAATGTAATTAAGTTCAGAAGAATTATTATTCGCCGTTTCTAACTCTGTTAATTGTATTTGTTTTTTCGTTTGACACCTTGTTACTACGCTTACTAACTCATTTTTGTTACCTATATTTTTTAGCTCTTCAGATGACATTTCTATCCTAGACAAAGCGTCTGCTTCCACATTGTCTTTTCCTTTTATATAATTAACTACAAAATCATATTCTTATAATACTAACCTAAATTTAGTTAATCTACTCAAAAGGTTGGTCATCCCAAATAAATAAATAATGATCTGTCAAAATGACAAATCGTCTAGAATAAAGATATAGTCTGAAATGTTTTACGGACCACACAATAGCCAATAATTCTTTTTCAATTGTTGCATAATTGACTTCTGCTTTATTTAGAGATCTACTTGCATAAGCTACAGGACACCCATTACCATTACAAAGAATAGATCCAATTGCTTTACCTGAAGCGTCTGTTTTTAAAATAAATGTATTACTTGGAGAAAAATCTGGATATTGCAAAATTGGTGGGGATATTAACGCTTCTTTTAGGGTTTCAAATGATTTCTAGAAGATAAAACATGTTATAATTTTTTAAAAAATATAAATGTTTGATCACAAATATTTCTTTTGTACGCAGTGCGCAAATACCTTTAAATTAAAATATCACGTGATGGAGGATGCAATTTAAAATTTTGGATTTGGGGCAGCTACTTTGCATAGGAGAGAATTCAGAAAACATACTGCTACTACTAAATTGCTTCCCCTGCCATATTGTCGAAACTGGTTTTGTATTTTTTAAACCAAATACAATCACTCATCAAAGCTATAGTCAATCGAAAGTTTTGAAATGGATATATTGTATAATATTTTATATTTTTGTGAGAAATATTTAGTAATATACTAAAATTAAAATTATATACAGAGGCAGAAATAAAGAAACTATTTGTTTTTACTTATCCTAGCTTTATAAAAAGAATTAAATAAAGAATGCAGCAAGGGATTATTTTTTAGTAAATTTGTTATATCGGTTAGTTTTCAAATTTAGTTCTAAAGTATTTACTTAAAAGTTAGCTTCTGTATATAGAATTGTTAAAATTTAATTACAGACATTATAAAATGCGACCGTTTGTTTAATTTGGCGACATGGAAATTATATTTTATTTTTAGTTTTAGGAATAAAGTTATTCTTTACAAGAAGTTCTGAATAGTCGAAAACTTATACCTCTAAATGTATAGGGGGGTTTTTATTTTTAACAATATCGAAAATTTTAATTATGAATTTAAATAAAATTAATGAAACTGCATTTTTAATTATTTATATTCAATACTTACCAATGCAATAATAAACGCACAAGTCAATACAAATACTACTGATTCAAACATTATTTTTATAGTATTTATTTTATTACAAGGTACCGAATAACTCGAAATATTAATATCGTTTTATTACACCGGCTTTTCATATCGTTTTTTCAAATGAATTTTTACGAGTTTTATTGCTCAAAATATTCAATCTATGTACACTGGAATAATTAATATAATTATTTATAAAATTATTCTTCTGTCGTTCATCGAATATATCTAAACAAAGTCACTATTATTTAGTCACAACAATGTCAATTTTGTGATATCTTTTGTTAAGATTTTATTTATTGCCCGTATGCCAGATTTCCTGTAAACCTCGGAACTAATTTCCTCAAATAATAAAACAAATATTACCACTAACAATCTATTTGAGTCATATTTATAATGATTAAAACTGGAGCTTAGTTATGAAGGTTCAAATTTTGAACCTCTAATATCAACATTAAATTTAACAAGAACAATAATTTTGAATAATATCAACATTAAAAATAACAAGAACAATAATTTTAAATAAATATATAAAAAAAATTTAAAAACAATAGTAAATAGTCAATCTATTTTTAACTATAAATTATTAAAATATGGTAACGTTTAAGTATGCTGTGGAATTAACTCTTGAAAACGTGTTGTTACATTCCAACTTGAACTAATAGTAGTATTTTAGTTTGATGTGGTACTAAGAGAAGAACCTGTTGTTACGTTCCAGCTAAAAGTAGTCGTATTCCAGGTGGATGTTGTGTTGACTGAAGAAAATGTTGTTACATTCCAGCTTGCAGTAGTAGTATTATAGATTGCTGTAGTATTAGAAGTAGAAAGTGTTGTTACGTTCCAGCTTGCAGTAGTAGTCTTATATTTTGCTGTGGTATTAAAAGGAGAAAGTGTTTTTACGTTCCCCAGCTTGCAGTAGTAGTGTTTAGGTTTGCTGTCATATTAACTGGAGAAAGTGTTGTTACGTTCCAGCTTGAAGTAGTAGTGTTATAGTTTGCTGTGGTATTAGAAGGAGAAAGTGTTGTTACGTTCCAGCTTGCAGTAGTAGTGTTCAAGTTTGCTGTGGTATTAACTGGAGAAAGAGTTGTTACGTTCCAGCTTGCAGTAGTAGTGTTATAGTTTGCTGTAGTATTAGAGGGAGAAAGTGTTGTTACGTTCCAGCTTGCAGTAGTAGTGTTATAGTTTGTTGTAGTATTAGAGGGAGAAAGTGTTGTTACGTTCCAGCTTGAAGTAGTAGTGTTATAGTTTGCTGTGGTATTAGAAGGAGAAAGTGTTGTTACGTTCCAGCTTGCAGTAGTAGTGTTCAAGTTTGCTGTGGTATTAACTGGAGAAAGAGTTGTTACGTTCCAGCTTGCAGTAGTAGTGTTATAGTTTGCTGTAGTATTAGAGGGAGAAAGTGTTGTTACGTTCCAGCTTGCAGTAGTAGTGTTATAGTTTGCTGTAGTATTAGAGGGAGAAAGTGTTGTTACGTTCCAGCTTGAAGTAGTAGTGTTATAGTTTGCTGTGGTATTAGAAGGAGAAAGTGTTGTTACGTTCCAGCTTGCAGTAGTAGTGTTCAAGTTTGCTGTGGTATTAACTGGAGAAAGAGTTGTTACGTTCCAGCTTGCAGTAGTAGTGTTATAGTTTGCTGTAGTATTAGAGGGAGAAAGTGTTGTTACGTTCCAGCTTGCAGTAGTAGTGTTATAGTTTGCTGTGGTATTAGAAGGAGAAAGTGTTGTTACGTTCCAGCTTGCAGTAGTAGTGTTATAGTTTGCTGTAGTATTAGAGGGAGAAAGTGTTGTTACGTTCCAGCTTGCAGTAGTAGTGTTATAGTTTGCTGTGGTATTAGAAGGAGAAAGTGTTGTTACGTTCCAGCTTGCAGTAGAAGTGTTATAGTTTGCTGTAGTATTAGAAGGAGAAAGTGTTGTTACGTTCCAGCTTGCAGTAGTAGTGTTATAGTTTGCTGTAGTATTAGAGGGAGAAAGTGTTGTTACGTTCCAGCTTGAAGTAGTAGTGTTATAGTTTGCTGTGGTATTAGAAGGAGAAAGTGTTGTTACGTTCCAGCTTGCAGTAGTAGTGTTCAAGTTTGCTGTGGTATTAACTGGAGAAAGAGTTGTTACGTTCCAGCTTGCAGTAGTAGTGTTATAGTTTGCTGTAGTATTAGAGGGAGAAAGTGTTGTTACGTTCCAGCTTGAAGTAGTAGTGTTATAGTTTGCTGTGTTATTAGAAGGAGAAAGTGTTGTTACGTTCCAGCTTGCAGTAGTAGTGTTCAAGTTTGCTGTGGTATTAACTGGAGAAAGAGTTGTTACGTTCCAGCTTGCAGTAGTAGTGTTATAGTTTGCTGTAGTATTAGAGGGAGAAAGTGTTGTTACGTTCCAGCTTGCAGTAGTAGTGTTATAGTTTGCTGTGGTATTAGAAGGAGAAAGTGTTGTTACGTTCCAGCTGGCAGTAGAAGTGTTATAGTTTGCTGTAGTATTAGAAGGAGAAAGTGTTGTTACGTTCCAGCTTGCAGTAGTAGTGTTATAGTTTGCTGTAGTATTAGAGGGAGAAAGTGTTGTTACGTTCCAGCTTGAAGTAGTAGTGTTATAGTTTGCTGTGGTATTAGAAGGAGAAAGTGTTGTTACGTTCCAGCTTGCAGTAGTAGTGTTCAAGTTTGCTGTAGTATTAACTGGAGAAAGAGTTGTTACGTTCCAGCTTGCAGTAGTAGTGTTATAGTTTGCTGTAGTATTAGAGGGAGAAAGTGTTGTTACGTTCCAGCTTGCAGTAGTAGTGTTATAGTTTGCTGTAGTATTAGAGGGAGAAAGTGTTGTTACGTTCCAGCTTGAAGTAGTAGTGTTATAGTTTGCTGTGGTATTAGAAGGAGAAAGAGTTGTTACGTTCCAGCTTGCAGTAGTAGTATTCCAGTTTGCTGTGGTATTTGAAGGAGAAAGTGTTGTTACATTCCAGCTTGCAGTAGTGGTATTATATTTTGCTGTGGTATTAGAAGGAGGAAGTGTTGTTACGTTCCAGCTTGGAGTAGTAGTATTCAAATTTGATGTAGTATTATTGGGAAAAAGTATTGTTAGGTTTCCTTTCGTGTTAGTAAAAGTATCAACATGCCGAGATAACCGTACAGCGGATTCTTGTGGTTTAGCCTGAAAAAAATATTTTTTTTAAAAATTGTACGTATTTATAAAAAACACCGTTCTAGCTCCCTATATTTTTTACTACATCCCAACAAAACACGAATTGCCGAGAATTGGTGTCTTTTTGATGTAATTAAAAATAAAATTAATGCGATGATTAGAATGTAAAAGCATACTGTTGGTCTTTCGAAAGTGGCCCAGCAACATGTTTTGGTTTATGATTGCATTATAAAGGTAAAAGCTTGGTAAAAGTTAAAAAACTTTTAGCCGAAGACACCGATGATCGCTTGCCACATACTCATCGAGTGGACATGTACTATGCGACTAGTTTTGCATTGCTGCTATTCACTATTCAGTATTTATTGTAATTTCTTACTTTTACATGTTGTTAATTTAGATTATTTTAGGAATATACTTCTTGTAGAAAACATTTATTTTCTGTTCATATATTATATAGCTGATTTAAAAAAAATGTTTACAATATTCTATATCGGAATATAGTATAGAAGTTATAGTTCAATCGGTACTACTGGTCAAAGAGTCATTGTTGAATCACCTGCCTGATAATGTGGCACTATATCTAGGAGGATATCAAATAGAAGAGGGAGACTTACCTAACTTGAAGCCACTTCAAATCCTACACTTCCTTGAGAAAATAGGATTGGAAGGGTCGCTATAGGTATTGATACATTTCCTTAGTGCAGTGGCGACAGAAGGGGGCACAATAGATATTTTAGGTCGCAGTGTATTAACACCCCATTCTCAACATAACATAATGTGGCTGACAGATGACATTTATTAATAGTCAGTATTAATATGGTATAAAGCCTGCAATTTCCTGTTAAACTTTTATCATATTAGGCTATTTATTGCCTATATATTTATTTTTAAATAAAGAAAAATAGAATCCTTTTATGTGGATTTGATAGCTAAGTATCTTCAGCCCGACTATCGGCCGTAGTGACCTATACATGCTGCCGCTTTAATTTTAAAAGTTAAGTGGTCATTATACAATTAAATAGTTACAGTTACTGGGCCTTTGATTTTCCTACACAAAATGTTTGTTGGGACATGCAATAATTTGTAAGTAGTTTACTTCTAAAATACCATTAATTATTTATCTAAATAATTTATCAAATTCAATTCGTTGAAATTAATTAGGATTCAATATTTATAACTCATATTTTAACACTTACCAGCACTATGGCAAAGGCATAAACAAATATAAATACTGGTAACTTAAACATTATTTACTTGTTATTATTAACACTAGTAATCTGAAACTAATTGATTTCGTACCATTTAATTGCCTTTTTATATGATTTATGCCCGTTATCTCATATACAGGATTATAAGAGGGTTATTGTTTAATGTACTTAATATTTATTATTTAGTGAAATAGGATGAATCACCTATTTATAGATAAGATTATCCTGTTTTTTTATATTAGACGGCCTATCAAGTACCTATTAATTAGCTTATTTAACATTATAATTCGAATTCATAGATTTTAATTTATCTTGTGATCCGTCAAACTAATATAATTTCTTCTCGACTTTAATTATTGGATTAGGGATTTTACATAGTAAATAAAATAGATCAAAATTCCTTTTGGCACGCTATCAATAAGCTTTATTGGACCATCCATAAGCCTTTATCAATATTTACATGTTGTATTTTACTAAAGAGGTTATTTTCCTGTCTCTCTAAGGTGAGAAGGCTTGATGACTCCACATTATTATGCCTCAATAGGTACATTGCACACACTCCAGGTGAATAAGGTCATTTTATATTTATATATTTGTCTATGGTGATGAAGAATTTAATATTCAGGTTGGTGTGTAATATGTCTCTTAGAAACTTCAAAATTGCTACATTATGATCATAGAAAAGTGTAGAAAAATTTTGTGATATGAAATATGTATTGGTATAAAACTAATAAATAATCAGATGAACTTTTAATTTTGTTTGAAAATTATTAATTTTACATATTGCCTATTGAATCCAGCAAGAGCATATGGTGATGAAAGTTTAATATGCAAGCAATTCTGAAAGTTGTGTTTATATACATAAATTATCTTTCTAATAAAAAAAAACATACTATTAACTATGTTTTCTATACCCAGATAGATATAAACTATTCAACGCACAAACTACAAAACAAAAAGTAATAATAATAATAATAATAATATTTATTGACCTTTGAAGCCATATCTACAAAATATGAATAAGGTAAGTCATACATAAATAAATAAATAAAATGAACAAAGTAACAATGCAACACAGTACAATATAAAAATCTATAAAAATCTCATATATCAGCTAAGCAACCGTATACTGTAGGAACTCATCTAATGAATAGAAAACATTCACTGTTAATAGCTGCTTAAGATCTTTCTGGAAGCCTTGTAGGGTTTGATTATTTTTTATGTTTGATGGCAGTTTGTTAAAGAGGTAAGAACCGGCGTAGTATGGTGATTTTTTGTAGCTGGTATGGTAATGTTGTTTTAAATATATATTTTCAGCATTTCTGGTATTATACCCGTGTATATCTTTTTTCATTATGAGATTTCTTATTTTATTAAAAGTAAAAGACAATAATTTATAGAGGTATATTGCTGTAACAGTAAGAATTTTATTATTTTTAAATATTTCTCGACAACTATCCCTGTAACCCAAACTAAAAATTAACCGTAATATTCGTTTTTGAATAATAAATACGCGAGAGATATCTGACGCCTGTCCCCAAACAGTAATGTTGTAGTTAAGGGTTGAATATACATGGGCATAGTAAATTGTTATTAAAGATTCCTTTGGCATATCATTTTTAAGTGAATACAACATAAAATAGCTTTTATTAAGATTTTTGCAAATATTATCTATTTGTTCTCTGAAGTTTAGATTACAATCGACAAGTGTCCCAAGAAATTTAGTTTTATTTGCTGAATTTACTAATACATTAACTTTGTTGATATTTACATCAAAGGGTGATTGGACAAATTTTCTGTCGCCGTAGGAAAAATTAACACAAATTGTTTTTTCCAAGTTTAAAACCAATCTATTACAGTCACACCATTCTTTAAATGCCATAATAATATTTTTAACTTTTTCTACTACCTGTCCTAAAGAATCGGCAGATACTATTACTGTTGTGTCGTCAGCATAAATAAACATATCATCCTGGTCTTTAAAATATTCAGGCATATCGTTAACGTACAGTAGAAAAAGTAATGGACCTAGTACTCCCCCTTGAGGGGTTCCTAGGTCATTATAAAATATATCAGACTGGATATTATCAACTGAAACAAAAAACGGACGACTTAAAATATATGAATTTACCCATGAATTTACAGGGTCTCTTATACCGACTGCCATTACATTCTACTGAACAAACATATTTCATATCCATCCTAGTTTAAACATTGCACGGTAAAAGGGCTGTTGTTTCCGACAGAGATTTTTCACAAACCCAACGAACACCTCTGTTGCATTCACAAGAAAAAGCAATCTTTAAGGATTAAAGGATCTTTATATGTGAAGACAACATCTGAGAATAGCGAAATAGATTAAATATCTTAGAATCATTGTAGCTTTTGCAGCCATATCAAAAATAACAAAAGAAAAATCTGTAAGAAAACTATGAGTCTGTAGACAAATGGGGACTTAAACCAAGTATGCTTCACTGACTTTATATCATGTAGTACACGGAAATATTAGGGGAAACTGGCCTAAAATGACATACCCTGAGAAAAAACTTTGACAAAACTTGGAAAATGAAAACTTTAAGCATCCGTTTAGTGTTTAATGGGATCGTTAGTTTATGCCGCTTCCTGTTATGGGCACAAAACCTTGAACTTTTACATTTTGAAGCAATGGCATCTAAATTAATAGAAAACTGTGCATTATGTCATTTTAGGCTTGTACCAGTTAGTTATAGAAAGAGTTGAAAATAAAAAATGAAGAAGCATTACGAAAGAGTTTTATTTTAATAAAGTAAACAATAGTAAACGGGTCAACATACCCAACTAGAACGTAAAACAGCTTAATAAAAAACAAAAAAATTATTTGAAAAAATCGCCAATAAAAATTTTTGTTTGTGGGGAAACACCAGCACATTCTGCATGACTTCACTTCTTACATTTTTGACACCGCAACCAAAGCTCACCTGGTTTCGACTGGGAATAAAGGCTGTTGTAATAAATACATGCATTGTCATCCTCATCATCTTCAATCCCAGCAAATGGGTATTAGGTTTCTTGTTCATCTTCATCGTCTTACAGCTTGATTCTAAGCTGGTTACGTTTTGCTTGTCGCTCCAAGACTAAACGTTGCTGTTTCTCTTTAACCCTGAGTTCTTCTAAGTTTGGTGTTGTGGTTAGCATAGCTGTTCCTTGTCTTTTATGTTTAAAAGACGTGGAAACCTTTGGTATTGAAATTAGGCTCTCTACGAGCAGGTAAGTCCGTAATCTCAATAGGGTCTGATGGTAGTGTAAGTGGAGGCTGGTGGTCTAGTGTTTGTGATTCGAGATCATTTTGTTTAGAAATATTGTTAAAGAAGCAGCAAACACCCAATAGGAAAAAATACTTGCTTTGAACGAATTGATTCCAGTTTTTTGAACTTACTAACGGAATTTTTCATTGTTGCACTACGTTCATAGACTTCGGCAAATAGCTTTCCTACTTAAAAGGAAGGTACAATTCGATCAGGGTTATTATTGAGCCACTTTGTAATTGCCTGTGTATAATAAGTGGATAACTGCTAATTGTTTGTGGCTAACGTGACCAAGTAGTAGGAGCCTAAAATGACATGTATGCCATTTTATCCCAATATAGTGTATGTCATTTTACCCAAAACAATTATTCCTTAGAAAGTATTTAAATATATATATATATATATATATATATATATATATATATATATATATATATATATATATATTTATTTATAGGCCTTGGTGGCATCCCACCATGTTAAAATTGCGTCTGCCGTGGCATCCACGTCCTCGTGGCATCCGATATACAGATGCCACGAGGACTTTCGATGAAACTCATCGCAAATGAAAGGATCCTACCCCTACTAACTCTCGGCAAAATATTGGCGGGATGCCAAAACAGCCTATTTTTGTATGTTTTTAAACATGGTAGTTTGAGCAATGACCGCAACTGCCGCCACTTTCGTGTGCTGTATATTCTGAGATATATTTAAAGGAGTAAATGGCATCCAATGATATACATATTCATTTTGAGTACCTGGTGGCCTCTGTATATTCCGTTTTCGGTTTGATGGCATCCATTTCGTTGTTGCCAGATCTTATATTGGTTTATAACTCAGCCTTTTCATTTTTATAGATTCTGTAACATACTTTCACTAGGATGAGGCGCCCTTGCGATTTACTTCCGAGAAAATAACATGTGTTTTTAAAGCTATTTTTATTATATCTTTTGAAATATACTGGTTAAATTAGGTACACTTATTCTGTCACTTTTTAAACTGTAATCTGTGAGGAACAGTTTTGTTTTGTATAAAAATTTGCACAGATTTGTCTGCCAATGTTGATAAAATTAAAACGCTTTTAATCGTATAAGGCATAAGCTAGGAGAAATTAGCGGACAAACTGGGCGGCGATGCTTGAAAATTTCAATATTGTTATTCGCTGAAATCTTTGGTTTAGATGGACTTTAGTGTCATGAAAGTTAAAAAATAAATAAAAATTATCATTTTTATTGAAAAAATCATTAATTCAGTTTAAAATATTATTTAAAACAAAATTTAATTTTTATACCGATTAACCGATTAAACAAAACATTAAGACTAACCAATGATTCAAAATATATATTTTTTTCTTTTAAAGTCAGGTTTTTTGCCGCCACACAACTATGGGAGCAAAGAGGGGTAAACTTATTTAGCCCAAGATTACAAATACAATTCTTATACTACCAATTCAGTACACTACTTTCAATTAATTTAATCAAAATCATTAAATAGCAAGAACTCCAACATATAATTTTTAGGTCTTTAAAGTCATTCGTATTCGCCGATAAATATTATTCCATCAACTTTCCGTTTGAATTAACTTATTACCTGGAACGTTACATAGTAAGTCTGTTTTTTCTGCCTAGGCAGTAAAAATATATCTTTTTAAGTCTTTAAAGTGTCAATAAAAAGCCGCTTTGGGTACAAGAAACCAAGTTTTTTTTTTTCAAATATATGAAAAATGACTATCTTTTAGTATCTATATAAACGACGTGGAATCATTAATTTTCCTACGAATTTCTTTCAAAACTAACCATATTTA